AGCTGAATTGCTTGGTGGAATATGTTTCTAAAATACTAAGCAGTACAGAGCCATGTTTAAAGTTTTAAAAAGTATTCAAACACTAAACTGAAGCAACAATAGCTTTCTGTGCGGTGATGGGTCTTGAGATTGTCTTGAACTGTGGTATAGTGGATGGGGTAATCCTGCCTAGGGGGGGTAGTTAATTATTGTCCAAAGTAGAGACGCTTCAGCAAGAAAGATGGCAAGAATCTCAGTCCAACACTGCCTGTCCCTCTTAGCCCCCCCCGTTGTTGGGGTACTCTTGTGTGAGAAGCCAGGAAAAGGGGCCTTTTACATGTCCCAGGCCTTACAAACTAATGAGATGTCTGGAGTGGATGAGACACTCAACTTTGGGTGGGTACTTTACTTCCCAACTTCAAAAGAAATCTGCGAGCTGCAGAATTTTGAGGGGTTGACTTTTTTTAAAATCCTAATGCGGACTATAAATGGGTTTTTTTATAATTCAAGTAAAGTTCAATAGATGAGGAAGAAGATTCCTAACAAACGCTGACCATAACATCAGCAAGCAAAAAATGACAGCCAAGTCACAGTGACTATTGGAGAACCATAAATCTCATTTTTTTTCTGGACCAAATGTGAGTGGTACTTTTAGTACTGAAATATCCAAAAGTAAAAACAGCAGGAGGGAAATGCAAAGAATAAAGGACAAGAATAAAGATGAAGAACCTGGAGCTACCAGTCGTTATCATGAGTTCGATGCTATGCTATCTGAGCAGAATATATTTCTAAATACCTACTTTCACTTGACTCACTGAGCAATTCATTTTTTGACAGACTGGCAGCTGACTGGAAAGTTTATTCTCCATAAGAATGTAAGTTGATATGAGACTAACCCACCATTAAACATTTGCTTGTCATCTCAAACAGGCTTTTATTTAGTACCTTTACACAGAAGAAGGAGTAAATAATGACAGGCTAAAAAAGCCCTCCTCTGGTAAAAACTAAAAATTAAAACTCCAGTGGAGACTAAGGGATTAATTTTTCATGGTGTTAATATACAGTGGGCATATTCAACATTGTTCTTCTAGTAAATTCATCTATGTCTTAACACTCATCTTTAGTGAGTTTGTCCCTTTGATTATTTTAAATCTATAAAATTTCTAAAAAGAACTGTCCTGGCAGTATGTCAGAGTGGGGAAGGAGATGCTAAAACCATTTTCTTTGTGAACAGAAAATATTCGAAATTCAAAACATGAAGTGTCATAATTGTTCTAGAGCAAAAGCTGCACTCAGGCTGTCTTGATTTAACGCCAAAGCCATTTTTGTAGCCACTATTGGAGAAAGAAGACATCTTAATTAAACTCTGCCTTTGTTGAAGACGTCAGAAAAGCTACTGGCAGAGCGTGCATGCTAACTGCAATCACGCATCCTGCCATTACCACTGACAAGGAAAAAAGCCAATAAAAGTGGGCTGCAAGTGGCTGCTGTCACACAAACTGCTGTGGAAGAAAGTTGTTGCTTGTCCATTCAGTATGTCTTTGAATTTTAAATGACAACCTCTAATAACCACAAGTCAGAATAATTTTTTCCACAGTAGGGCTTTACTGACATGTCACACAGAACTGTTCAACTTCAGAAATCAAGGTGCAAAATAAGATCAATGAAAATCATTAGGAGATGTTGAACTTTGATTGTTGATCCATGGTGAAGTGTGGGTTTTTTTGTTTCTTTTCCCCTGAAGTCAAGGTGTTTAAAATTATATAGAAATGGTATTGTTCACAAAAAACACTTCAGCGCGGCAGCTAGGACTTGGAGAAAACTAGCAGCAGTATATCTATAATAAAATCACCCTTATCATGTTCATTTGTGGTTTATCATTTTGTTGTATTTTCTCGCCATTGTCTTACTCTTACATGTGGGAAGATAAAGGCATGTGTGGGGTGTAATGGATAAGAATAAATGCTGGTCTTCTGTCTGTGTCAGTGCCGTTAAAGTTAAAGAAAGGTAACATACCCAGTACCTTTGTGGACAGGCAGCATCAGTCTTCTGCTATTTTTTCTGGGCTTTGCTGCTCGCTCCTGCTGTCTAGCAGACAGTATTAAAAAAAAAGAGAAACTAAAAGAAAGTGTGGTCCAGAAGGATTTGCGAAGCTCATTTGTAAAACATCTGAAGTTAAGACTGTTCCTGTATTAAGAGGCAATGGGTGGAAAAAATACCATAGAAATACAAGGACTACCAGATTTCTCTTCTCTGCTTGCTGCTCAGGTGTCTCAAAAAGGACCTGAAAGAGTAATTTATCTTTCTGCCAGGAGAAGAGATAAATTCCTTGCTTGACAGGATTGTCTGCTTCATCTTGGAGATATTTACCTTGAAGCTGTATGGAGTAGTCTTTGTGACTACTGCTTATTATGACTCACATAGAGATTGATGTGTCATTTCATACAACTCTATCACTAAATCTGGGTTGCATTTTGGATAAGATCAAAGAAGTACCATGTCTAATTTCCAGTTCCTCCAGTTTTCTGAGCACTGTTGAGCTAAAACATTTAGTTTTTATTTACTTTGATTCTGTGATCTGATGCACTGTGATATATGTTTACTAAAGATTAGAATCAAGAACTAGTAAAATATGCATGATTAAATTACTTGTCACGAATACAAGTTTTAGTCTCGCCAAGGACAGGGGGGGCCTTAAGGTAGAAAAGATGTTCTTAGGTAAAAAAAATTCTGATAATCCGCAGAAAAAAAAAAAATGAAACCAGCAAAGTAAGAAGTTTCACTTGCTACATAACAATAGTTATTATTTTGCTATGTTTGGATTTGAGTGAACAAATAAATGGAGGATTCACACTCTGTCTCATCACACATAGGCTGAAAAGCTAGCTGAAGTGGATAGCTATTCACTAAGATACTTTCATTTGGGTATAATTTTGGATGGTTGCTAAAGCAGGGTTAACTTTAAATAATGCTTTTGATGAAAACATACTCAAATTATTGTTAGAAAGTAGATTTGTCAATTTAGAAAAATTAATAGAATAAGTATAAAGAACAACTTTGAAAGTCACTTCTAAGTTTGACATTTTTCCCTTGAAGCAATAAATGTAAACAACTGGTGACAGTGAGTTGATTGTGCTTTGCCTTTCTATGAAACTTTGCACTAGAAAGTATTGATAAATAATAATTTATTCATAATTCTATAGGTATAGAAAGTGTTTTTCAAAATGCTGATACTTTCCCTGTAAATAATATTTAAAGATCTAGTTTTAATAACATACTAAAAATTATTTTATTTAGTCTTTAAAAATGCCCTTTTTAATACGTGTTAAGTAAGCATGTTTAAAATTGTCAGTTTGAAAGTGCACATTGAAAGCATACATTGATATGAAAGAGCTCTTGTCTCATTTTTAAATTATGAAAATTTTTTTGAGTTGCCTGATGAAGTTGATGGAGACATTCAAAGATAATACACTTTAGCATGTTTATAAATTTTTAAAAAATATTTCTTTCTGAGTATTCCTATATAAAGACTGAAGAACTTTTACTAATTTAAAAAATCATGGAAAGCAAAATCTGCAGGTACAATAAATTTAAAAAATAAGTTGTAATGTGCTTACACGTTAATCATCAAAAGGTAATGTTATTTATTTGCATGCCTCAGAAGTCTTACAGTGTTATTATTTATAGGAACAGTTTTATTATATTTACAGTTTAATCTTGTATTATTAATTTAGACGGGTTTATTGTTTAATATGACTTTGTAATTTGGATACTCAATAAAAAAATTTTCAGAATAATTTCATAGAACTGATCCCCTATGGAAAACTTCTGAACACGTAACTTAGAGTAAGTTTTGTTTATTAGTGTTTATTTTCACCTCCCCATAGGATACTATAAGTAACTCAGATTGATTAATTGTGAGAGCAATTATACACAGATTCAAGGAGGATTTTATATTCTGGCCACAGGGTTGCATGGAGACACTTTCTGTCTTAGAAGTTCACCTCTTTGTAACATATCTGTATCAAAATCTTTATGAATTTAGTTCACTACTGTGGAACTAAGTATAATATGACATAGATGCTTTTAATGCTAATGTTCTCACAAGTTTATGTACTGGCTACCTGGAGCTGGGCCTAATAGTTAATGTTTAACAATATTAATACCAATATCACACAGAGGTAGTGCTGTTGATTTTTTTTAAGATGTGATGTCTTCTTTCTCTGAACCAGTTTTGAAACAGCTCAATTTGTAGTTTGGTAAGGCAACATCCATGCTATGAATCAAAAAGTTTGCGACTTGGCAGTGCCTGTCCAATTCTTAGAAATTTCATATATGCAGAGTATTAGAGTACCTTCGTTGTTCAGCTACCTAAATTTCTCATGGCTTTAGCTTACTGAGGATTTTCCCTCTGCTGAAGAAAGGTTATATCTTGCCCTGATCATGGGTGTTTTTCCCTGGGGAGTGTAAGAGGGTAGGTGGGTTGAATCCGCTTCTAGATTGGTAAAATATTTTGGGAACTCTTCAGATGGTACTGTTACAAATTATATCAGATTAGTCTATCACTTTCAGTAGGAAAGGAAACAGACCTTTTCCTTCCAGTTTCCTTAAAACTTACGTGCAGTACAGTAAGTTACTAACATGTATGAAACGAGTAGAGTTTTTCAAATGTTTTGTTATTTTCTGTAAGGGACTATACTTGTTGCTGAAGTCAAAAATTTTTTGCAGGGCTTAATCTGGTTTAAGATTTTGACTGTGGATATTTGGGATGTTCTTTTTTCTCTGTTTTACCTGTGTTAATTGTAATGAGGAATGTTGGAGGCAGAGAACAGGACACACAACTGATCTAATAACACTCTGCAGCAAGATTTTTTTCCATCTCCATTAGCACACATCCTGTTATAGCACTTACTTTTAAGACAGCAATGCTGCTTCACCAAACTTCCTCCTACAGTGAGAGAAGTAGGGATAACTCTTGGAAAAAGTTTTGAGGCTAGTGACAAAATATGTTTGTCTTTCAGATCCCCAGCTCAAGGGTATAGTGACCAGGTTATATTGCAGGCAAGGCTACTACTTGCAAATGCACCCCGATGGAAGTCTCGATGGAACCAAGGATGACAGCAGTAATTCTAGTAAGTGACTGCCCCAGGGGAATGTCTTAATCGCACACACAGATCGCATCCCTCGAATGTGTATGCACAGACACCGTGTTAATGCCTTTGAAGGGTTTCTGAATGTGTTTTGTTCAAAGGAGGAGGGTTCTGTCTGTTTGAAGCTTGATGACCACCAGCATGGCTCATACAGGATATTGGCCTAAATATGTTCCCTCTGAAGAGAAAGGCCCATGGACCTTACGAGTGAGATATTTAGGCCAATGATTGTCTTGTGGTAATTTTATAAAAATGGTAAAATTATACTAAAATATTTTTAATAAAAATTATATATTTAACATAATTTTTTACCTTCGAATAAATAACAAAGAAAAAAAGAGCTGGAAACTAAATTTCCCTAAAAAATCTGGATATATAGGCCCTGATTCAGCAAAGCAAATAAATGTGCATTTAACTATTAAAGTCCTGCTTAAAACACACACTGAAGTACCTTGCTGAATTGGGGCTAAAACTCCTACAGTCCCTATACCAGAAAGAGTTCCAATGACCTTAAGCAAATTTCTGCCACTGTAGGGGCTGCATCAGTGAGAGTTTTCAAAAATATTCCAAACAAAAGCAGTCTTGAAAGACCGTGTGGCTGACCGCTTTGATACACTTCTCCTGTGATAAGGCCACATATTTTCATTCAATGAGGATATATGTCTTTGATAACTTCAGCTGCAAATGATAATTAAAAAAGCCTATTCTTACGCTAGAAACAGTTGATTTGTATTTTGTATATTTTAATTATAATGACATATTTAAGTAACATTTCTGTGTGACCTTGAGTTCTATTTTAGGCACTTTTAATACAAAAGCTTTATCTTCTTGTTATGCATACATATACATAAATAAGCCTTCAGTTTCCTCAAAAATCTTGGAATTAGGCTACAGAAATTAGGGGATTTGAGGTTTCTGCTTTACATTGGTAAGGTCTTATTTTATCTGTTAATGCATGGCTGTCATTTATAACACTTTTCATCAACAGATAACATGATCATCTTTTATTGTTTTGTTTTTTTAAAATGAGAAAAGCTGATTAATCTATTTTGATATATACTTCTCTGCCTGCTTTCCAAGTGTTTTTGTCTCTCCCCACACCCTCCCTCCCCACCCCATTCCTTGTATATTTTCTTCCCTCAGTGTGTCCATCTCTCATGCCCACTTCTGTACTGGACTAGATACTAAGACCTTATACAGACAAGACTATTATTGCCTTTTGTAGAAACTTTGCCTAGATGAGGTCTGAGAAATATACCTTAGAGTGCGAGTGTGTGTCTCTCCTTGCCCATCTCTCTTATTTTCAGCTTCAGCAAGAAGGTGTGTATGACTACAATAATTTTGCAAAGTTTTATTGGTTTTTCTGAGGGTTTTTTTAAATCTTAGAACTCTATGAATTTGGATTCTTTGCAAAACTGGACCATACTACTTTTTGCTGTTGTCAGCTTCACAAATCCTTTTTTTTTTCTTACTATTTAATTTACCTTTCTCTCCCTTCTTCCCTGCTTTTCTGATTTTCCATCTGTCTATCCATCTCTTTTATTCTTCTTTTTCCGAAATGCAGAATGACTTATAATATTATAATTATTATATATGTATCACTATAATATTATAATTAATATTATAAGTATTAGGAAATATAGAACTTCTCCAAACTCAACCAAATACCAGATAGCAATATTGTGTATTTTGGATAAATATTGTTAGATAACATTGTGTTTTACTTCAAAATTATTTTTAGGCTAATTTTTTTTTCATAAGAGTATTTTTTCTGTCTTTAACTGGTGTGATTCTTTTTTTTTTATTCACTAGTCCAATTTTACAATATTTTTTTAGTAAAGACAGTTTAGAACAGAATGCAAAATTAATGTGTTTGCCAGGAGGGCCTATAATGTCCACCTGAAATTTTGCTGGTATAGATGTATCAACACTATATTAAGAGCTGAAAAGATTGATCTAGTTGGTCTATTCATTAATAGAAAAAGATAATAATATGCGTCTGTTTCTTTTTGTGCTGTCAGTCTTTCTCCTTATTTTTTCCCTTTCCACTCTATTTCCTTTCATTTCCTGTTGAACTTTTTTTCCTATTGCTTTTGTTTATTGCAGCATATTTTGGTTTTCCTCCTCTTTTTTACTTTAAAACAATAATTTTCTCATGGATAGAATTCCTAGTATTTTGATATTTTATTTTCTGGGCTCCTTAGCATGATAATTTCTGTCTGAGGCTTACAGGTAAATAACTTCTGGCAGCGGCCCAAGGAGAAAATCCTGCTTCTGACCATTGTGTTTACAGACTGCCTATTTAATGTGCCCAGTGGGTGAAGGGATGGACATATATTAGCTGTCAGTAGGACAGATAATATGCTTATCTTGATATTGAAGATAACTTCCATTTGATTGTGTTCATAAAAAAAGAAAATACAGACCGCCAAAGGGTTTGCACCTCTGCCAGCCTTCCACCTGTCTTCTGGACTATTCACTGTCCCTGAAGAGAGTGCACTGGCCATCTGAGTAAATGGGTGTCAGAAAAGCAAGGCGTGAGAGTCAGAAAAAGATGTATTTTCTTTTTTGTCTTCAGCAAGGAAACTGTTTGAAGCTTAGTCATGCTGCTACTTTTTGTGCTTCTGCAATGTATTCTGTGTCAAGCAGTTAGAGCAGTGCTTGAAGTTAAAATTCCCTCAAGTGCCTATATCATTTAGTACTCATTTTATATGTATGTCAGTAAACAATAAGTTACACACTATTGGAGTCGCAGTGTTACAGAGAGGTAGCGTAAACCAAGATTAAGACGTCTTTAAAACTTCTCAGTAGTCACTTTAATGACATTTTGCTTCTATTTGAAGTCAAAATGAGTAGTACCAGTGGATTTAATCAGCTGCTCTAGTGCAAGCCATTGTCCCAACTTACCTTAAGTCTGAGTAAAGGCTAGAGTCTGCAGAGAGAGAGATGGCAAGATTTTTAGTACATTGCTGCACACAAATCCTTCCACGAAAAAGGAAGAAAGATGTGACTACTTGTAATTACATCCCTGAAGGTACTTTTGTCTGTTCATGTTGATGGCCATGATATTAGAACTCAACCTAAACAGACTGATAGGTTTCAGTTCAGTGTTGTAATTTCTATGTATAACTTTTCCAAGCTAATCGTGTTTTGTGAAAGAGTGTGAATTAATGCACCCATTGGTTAATGATGCTGAGTTTCCTTAGATCACATCACCAGATCAAGGCTGTTAGCTTAAGCAATCTTGTGTGTTCAGTCTGTGGGGTTTTTTGCCCCACTCTCAATCATATGTAAAAAGAGGCTTTAATACATTGCTTTTATTATTTTAGCTGGTTTTCTCTTTTTTGTTTCTCTAATGCCTTACAGTTTATGGTTTGCTTTTGGAACATGTTTGTAGTAAAGGCAGGAGTGACTGTGATTAAAGCTGTAGGCTTGATTACTGAGGTCCTACTCAGTGTAGCTGTCCCTCTCTAGCTCTAATTTTCCTGGATTTTACAGATGCAAATGCAACTTGCTTCAGTGTTGTCTATGGGCCTTATCATTAATAATTAGGAAAGCTACAAACTACTACACAGAAATCATAAAGAAATAGAAGTGATTTCCATATGTGCTTGTGGTAACAAGCATAACATTCTCCTCCTGTCCTCCCCACCTAAACCAGCTCATTTTTAGGTTTTGGTCTGTCTTCAAAGTTTTGTCTTATGAATGAAGGGTAGGTTCTGTAGGAAGACTAATAAATTTGAGAAACAGACAATTCTGATTTTTTAATTTCTGAGATCAAAACCCTAAATCTTTTAGATCTATGGCTTCTTTTGATTCACCTAGAGAGTGTATCTCAGACAACAACCACTGAAAAAATTCAACATAAATGGTGATACTTTCCTTTATAGGAGATAGACCTGATTGTAACACTCAAATGTTGCTATTTGCACCCCTTATGAATTACAGTCATGTTTAGAACATGTTTATAACATGCTGTAATTAAAAGAGCATTACTCATTGGTAATTAGCCTTATTTCATAAGCTTATAAATGACAAAGATAACGTTAACCAAGCAACTTTGATCTGGCTTTGTTGTGAACATCTCTTCCTTTATTATTCTGCAGCATGCTTTACCTCCTTTGCGATGCTTGGTATCTGGTAGAGTTGCTGTTCAAGAAAATCCTGCTGTTCAAGAAAAACCATTTAACATTCCTTTATTTTCATCTTTTAATGCATGCTCCTAATATTTTATTTATATCTTCCAAATTGAATATGGAAGTATTAACTTTTTAATGTCTTTCTAAAGTACCTACCCCTATCACATTTCGGTTTGAAGATAGAAAAAAATAATCTTTACAGCACCCTTTTAAGGTAAAGGAGATAATTAGACAGAAATAAAGCACATGAAGATTAAAAAACAACACCTGCAGTGCTGTTAAATTTAGATTAATGAACGTTAAATTTGAATTACTGTACTGAAATACCTGCAGCCTGATTTTCACATTGCTTTTTACTGAAGTTTGTCTTCCAAGAATTATTCAGGCATTTACTTGTCTACCTACACTACCTCTGGGAGTTAGGTAAGCCTGTTTCTCCCATTGGGATAATCTTAGTCTAACAGAGTCAGTGAAGGCCATGTTCAGTTATGTTTTAATTATATCTTATGTAAAGTCAGGTAGGTAGAATGGGTTTGCTCCATAAGAAATGGATGGACAGACCTCTAAATACCAACCTTTTTGCACTCATTGCCAATCTAAGAGATGTTATGATGGAGTCGCCATTTTTGCCTGTGGGCCTGCAGATGAAAATAAATTAAAGAAATAGTTGCCTTGATCTGATTGGAGATTTGGTGCTGTGGAAAGTTTTGTTGACTGACACAAGAGCACAGCACATTCAGAAGAGACAGCAAATTTATAAACCTTAAGCAATCATTTTTTTAGCAAGCTTCTTGAGAAAAACAGTGATCTGCAATAGCAATTTTCTTGTAACTACGAGTCAGTTGTACCTACATAGATTTTCATAAGTAAATGGAAATATCTGATTTTAGGCATTTCAGATTTCAAATTAATAGACTATGATGATATTGCATAAAAGAAGGAAAAAGTTATGTGGTGGTTTTGTGTTTTGCTCAAGAAAGGAGTGATTGCTTATAAAAAATTTAAAAGTGGACTTAAACTTTGGCTAAAGCTTTGTGAGGATTAAAATCCAAGTCAGATTTGGAGTTCCTGCAAGTCTCCTTCATGACACCTAAGCAAATAACCATTTTCATGCCAGTTGTTTCTGCTAACTGCCCTCCACTCCCATTTTCTGATCTTGTCTGTGATGGGAATAGGCTTAGGCTTGTAGGCTTAGGAGAAGGAGGAGAAACTGTGTGCTTTATGATCACGGTTTAGATGGAATACAAATCAAAGCTAAGGGAGTGCACAGACTCAGTGCTGACAAGAAGAAAAGGTTTTACTCGAACCGTTTTTGCCGATCGGTTCCTTTGTTTTCCTTAATGTTCCCACGTCTTATTTACATTTGGATTCCCCAGGCTTTCTGCTTAAGTGTGCAGTTAGTTTTGGGTTTGGATCAATGTCTTATAGACAGAAGAAAGGTGGGGAAATGGTTCTTTTTCACAGCCCCCTCAGGTAAGAGCATAGCTCTGGCTGTGCAGAACCAAAATGCCAGCAGACTCTGGAAGGCTTTCTGCTTCTCTCAAACCAGGTTCTTATTAGAGTGGGGGATAGCATAGGTGAATCCTAGGAAGGTTTGAATGTGTAATTAGGCAGAAAAGTCTTGTTCATTAAAGAGTACTGCACAGTCATGTTCTAGAGGAAATTGACTTTCCTTTGGCCACCTTCAAAGCACCTAAAAACCACATACTGTACCTTCCTGATACATGTTTTGCTGACCCCAGTATGAAACATATTGCTGAACATTTGTCAATTGAAAACTGAATGTAGACTGGCCTACCTAGTTTCAACCAAGTCTGAAAGATTTTGTGAAATTTACTGAATTTTCTCTATGTGCAGAATTGCAGCATTTCAGATCATACTCTAAAATTTTATGGTCTTAGGCTAATTACAGAAGCTCTGACAGTCTCCAATTAAAATCTAGTGGCAGTAAAAGATACATTACACACCCTCTTCAATGCTTTCTAAATTCACCAGCAACTATAAGATGCTCTAGTAATTTTATAGGTTGCATAAAACACTGCCCTGTTACAAGCCTCTAATTCTTCTTCAGTGATGACTGGGTTTTTTTTCTAGCTCTGCTGCTTTATTTTTAATGGCAATACAGCAAATAATGTCTGTGTTCCAGAATTTTTTTGACAGAACCTCTATGATTTGAAGTTATTTTTCCATAGCAGTTTTCATGGCTGACTTGTCTTTTGTGTTCATTTCTTGTCTTTATACAAGTATTGTTTGCTTTTTCTTTTTGGTGCCCCTTCAATTGTTGCTGCCCCCCCCCCCAGCGTGGTGTTTCTATGCAGGTTTCCTCCTCCCCCGCAATTTCTTTTCCTCTAGGAAAAGATCCCAAACTCAATTGCTATCTGAAACTTAGTTTTTCTCTGACAGACTCCCCATCCACCATCCACAACAGTGATTTTGCTGACTTTTAATTGTTTCCTTTCAGGGTAATGACTTTAATTTTTAACTTTCAGATTATATTGAACATTTGAAAGCCCTCAAGCCATGCAGTGTTTAGCCTATATACTCTTAGGATATCTTATCAATGATGCCATATTTAGCTGTTTATCCTAATATAGAGAGGGAACCCTGTCTGTATCCAGTATTTTTCTAGTCAAGAGCCCACTAAGATCCTAGCATAATGGAGACTTTTGGAAATTACAGAAATTAAAATGCTATTTATTTATGCTAATTCTTGTCATCTTTTCTATTCTTCTTTGTAAGCCCCCCCAAAAATTGTTATCTGTTGTTCTAGAGCTCTTTTGAATATATTTTTCTTTCTACACCTTTAGGAAGTACTCTACTACAATTCCCAGCTTTATACTGGCTTTGTGTGTTCATAAAAAGATCTAATGTTACACACTCTTTTTCTCCATAACAATGTTGAAGGAAAAGTATCTTTTTTTTTTTTCATCCACTTCTATCTTTAAGTTCTAGTAGTCAACCTATGCTTTTTCTCAGTTGTAAAGATTTGATCATCTTCATCATAAACAAACTGCGGATTTATCTCCTTTGACCAAACAGGAGTTTTCACACCTTGAGAAATGTACTTATCCACTGCAAGTACATGACACTTTTTCCTCTTGATTTTGGCTTTAGCTCTGGCATTCTGAATACAGGTAGCCTCATACAGTACATTTTCTGGTCACACCTCTGAATGACCTTCCTAAATTTTGAGGAACTCACTGTAGGTGTTACTGTGTTCCTGAGACCTGACTTAGTAGAACCATAGTCCTCACTGCATATGTTGAATACAAAGGTTGTGCTTTTGGTTTTCATCCAAGGACTTGTCAGTCCTTGACTCATTCACAATGGAAAAATATTTAGCATGAACTCTGTCTCATCTAGAGCTTTTCTTCCAAGACTGATGTGTGCTTTGCATCTGATTTTCTAGTATGAGTCAGTAAATGTAGTATAGGTGTGTGCTAGCATAATTTTTAGAAGAAGAATCTTTCATGTCTCCTATTTATATAACTTTTCCTGGTTTTCTGTGTGTTTTTCTGTGGTGAGGCTGGTAAACTCCCACTCCTCACACTGGTCTTTTTCACACAGTGATCAAAGTTGTGGCTGGTTTTGTTACTACAGAGGTATATACCATTCCTACGGTATTTGCTATTAGGTAGTTTTCTAATTATTTTCTAATTACTCCACACACACACGCACAGAGCCCCAAGTTTTTGAGCATGTTCTGTATTTAGCTCAATAACATTTATGCACATTTAGGGTCAAGAACATATTTTGGTGCCTTTATGAACTTTTAAGCCTCTGTCATTACCTTCTGTGTTACTTGCCAGAATTGGAGATGTTTTCTGCAGGGCATATCATAAGTATCACTTTTATGATCAGTCTGCGTTGGTGAGGGAACTGGTGGGCTCTTTGACTCTATTCAGATTGTCTCAGATGTTCATGTTTGCAGTGCTGCATAAATGATTACAGCCCAGTTTGCTGTGCTTTGTATTTACTAGTTAACACTTGTGCCAGATACTAAACTATTGCAGAATTTATTGGTAGATAGATAGGCTTTAATTCTGAGGACAAACTTTATAAGAAGCTGGTTTTTCTGAATTAGTCTAATTTCAAAATCGGAAAAAAAATTATACAGTTTATTATATAGTTTCTTTCTTTTTACTAGTGATATTTATTAGGATATTGTTTTAGTCATAGGATATTAATATCTGGTTATGTTTTTTCTTCATAGCTTTATTCAACCTTATACCAGTGGGACTTCGAGTTGTTGCTATCCAGGGTGTAAAGACTGGGTTGTATATAGCCCTAAATGGAGAAGGTTTCCTCTACACATCAGTAAGTACCTTGCTGAACTCTGTTTAAGAGGCACAGCTGAAGTTGAAATCTACACAAGAATGAGACATTCACTTTTAAGTTCTGTAATGTCTTATATATATATATATATATATATATATATATATATATATATATATATACACATATGGTACACACACCATATATGTACACAGCATTATCTATAAATGGGATTAAGTAGAAATTACTGTGTACTACATATGAAAGTCTGCATGTTAACAGTCCAGAAAAGGCATACTGTAAATGTCTTTTCCTGGTAGGCTATACTGGTAGTGTGCCATATGTCATAAAACTTATAATCTTCAATTAATTTCTCAAAAATCTTTAAAAAAATACCTGCAATTATTTTTTTAGTGACTTGTTGATCAGAATCCAAAAGCTACTCCAACAGTTACTTTTGTTGATAAGATTTACAAGTGCAACTTCCATCTAAAAGGTTGTTAACAGCTTTACAGTTTATCACTATAATCTTGTAATTGTGTCTTAGCATTATTGGGTTTTATGTCAGATATAAAGAAAATAAAGAGTTCTGTGAGGGACTATATCTTTGTGGAATGATTAAAGTTGAAAAAAAAATCTTTTGAGTCACAAAGAAGACTGCTGGATAAAGTGATTGGAAAGATCTCATGTTTATGATATCATTGTTTATGATATTTCAAATGATTTAATGCTAATCACTCAGTGTGTTGTTGTGAATATAAAATTCCTCAGTTTTGTATAAATTTAGTGTCTTAACCTCCTTTGAAAGGCAAACAGACTTTAATGTGAACAGGCAGTTCTGTCAGGTATTAACAAGGTGGCTTAAAGGATTTTTCATTACTATATTTTTACTGACATCTATGTGGAATTTATTTACATAGTGCTTTTTCCATTTTTTACGTCACATAGTTCTTAATTCCCCACTGAGTTACAATATAATGCTTTGTTGTCAATGACCGTTGAAAGGAAATTGGAAAGATTAAGTTTCTGATGCCCTGAGGGAAAGTATTCTGTTTGTTTCAAATATACAATTTTCTTGGAAAAACTAATTAGGAAGAAAAAAATGGAACTAATCTTGAATGTCAATGTCAAGACAGCGAGAAAATTCCTCCTTATACAATGTCTACTGGAAACTCCAGCAGTATGATCTACTACATTTTTTCGCTTCTCTTCAAAATAAAAATTCTATTGCAGGAAAACATGCAATATTTGCTGTCAGAAGGAAGAAAACTAGAAGAAAAAAACCTAGAGTTATTAGAAAAAATGAATTACTGACTTTCCAGTTCCATCACTTCATGTGGGGAGTTCATTTCTGTATCATGGCATGAAGAGTATTTTTTGAGTGTGTTGGCACAGTGAAGAGTACATTCTTGCCCAGCACTGTTTCTGAAGTGAGTACTCAGTCCTTCAGAAAGAAATACAAATTTCAGAAGGTGTACAGTTTCTTGATGGATAATTCTGCAGATGGAGTAACCCTACGTAAACAAATTCTCACAGCCACGGTATTTATGTATTCTGGAAATAGTTCAAGTTAAATGAAGTAAAGTGAGGCAAGGAAATGAGTGTTTTTATAATGTACTGCTCACTCTTGTGCAGAGAATGAAAGATGAGTGGTCCATTAAATGGCAAAGAGATTTGATACATTAGAAAACACAGTGGAAGACTTTAGTTTTGATATGTCTACAAAATGATTTTCAACTTAACCTTTTGTCAAGCAGAAAAGTAATAATTCGATCTAATACAAATTTAAAGGCAGTGGTTTCAAAACATCAGTGCTGTAATACAGGTTTGATTGTTTCATATTAATGTCTTGAAAACATTGGTAATACACTTTTGTCTCAGCAATTGCCTGCTTTCAGCATAAAGACTAATGAATTTGAAAATAAGACAACAAAACATGAGAGAAGTCTGTCTCCTCCTGAGGATCAAGATGAAGAAATAATGTATGCAGAATTAAATACTGTCATTTGTAGAAAAGTATTTTTAACAAATCACTTTCTATTACTGTTCTATTTGTGGATTTTTGACTCATTTTCACATTTGTGTATCTGTTGCACCTAAATGCTGAAGTTCTATATTATATGGCATGTATTTTTCCCTTGGTTATTTAGAGGAGGATGGAAGAAAAAAGTTTTTGAAGTTTTGTATGATGACCATCATAACTGAAAAAAAGTGCTGCATAATGGGAATGATAGTTAAAATGCATACATATTTATATTTATTACTGATGTATTATAGGGATTTAAAAAATGGAAGCCTGCACTGTAGACTAAGCAGCATTTATAGTCTGAGACCAAAGTACTGTATAGTCCTTTTCTGCAGAATACCTCAGTGTCCCTTTTTCCATTCACAGTGTACAAAATCCATATCTTGTGAGAATATACTACATGTTGATACCTTTCTTCAGAGACTGAAGGCCCCAACTCAATTATTTTTATCATAAGGTTCACATCCTGTTGACTTATTAAGCAACAGCACTGACAGGAAAGGTATTATGTGTGAACCTGCTTTCTCTGATATGAAGTGTTCAGTAAGAAAAAAACGAAGGTACAGTTACAGACCAGCTTTGCATACAGATCACCAAAAGCAGAATTACATTGTCTCTTGCCTTTTTTTAATTTTTTTTCTCAATAGTTAGTTGTGTCGGTTTGAGAGTCTTTTCCCCCCTTCCTCCCTTACTTTATTCTGACATATTTAAGATTTTTTCAACTATTTCTCAGAATTAGAACTATCAAAATATGCAGAATAATCATAGAAGAGTCTTATGGCAATATTTCTTTGAACAGAAACAGGGGGGCAGCAAATTGTGTAGGAAGGTCACTCTCAGGAGCTTTTCATACCTATTTTGCCTGCTGCAGCAGTTGAGATTTGTATTCTGTCCTTTCGGGATTGATCAAACCAGGGTCTCTATCATACACCATCAAAGTCTTGTCAAATAAAGGAGAAGCAAAATCTTTGGAGTTTGATAGGGATTTGCAGAATTCCTGAGAGAAATTATTTTTACAAAATCCTAACCTAAATTTTTCTATGTGTTTAATTATTATAATACAAAAATTAATTTTCTCTGTCAGATGAAATATGAGAACAAGAGCCTTTTCATGTTGTTTTTTATCTTGCACTTTTAAGGGTTATCCCACCTAAAGACTATCTCACCTATTTTGAAGTTTTGAGTTACTGCATTCAACTTTATTTCTGTGTGTATATATATACACATATATATTCATATTGATTTATATCTACTCATAATTAAGATATATTTATCTAGTGACAGCTTTCAAATTCTGCGTGTGTTAGTGAGCAATGACAATTATAAAAGTGAGTTGAAATTTATTTTAGTTGGTTTCATGAACTGTGAACAATTCAGTATTTATGACTGACTTAGTAACTGTGAAAGCTAGTTGGAGAATCTGGATTTTTCCACAAAGAACCATCTCAGTTGCTAACAAGATTTTTGACATAATAGTTATGGACTTCATATGTTAGAGTCAAAAATGATGCCTTACTGCTGTCTTGCCTTTGGAAAGGGTGAGCAAGATGAGGTTTCTTTTCCAGGTTTTATCTTGTCATAATCAAAAGGAGTGAAACTGGCTAAAAATGAAGCACAGTTCCAGGGATTCTCCATGGGGAACAGGTATTGCCTGCAGCAGGAAGATGGCAGTGCAGTACATGGCAGAATCTCTTGTTGGGTTTGATGCTAATTTTGCTCAACTCCCATTGCAAGCAGTTAACTAGTTCAATGTTCAGGGAGCTGAAGCTTCTTGTTTTACTTTTAGGATTTTCTGCTATCTTAGCAGGACGAACTCAAAGGTAAAACTTATGTGAGTCCATTTTATGATTCCTATTTTCCTATGATGAGGATATGAAAGTCTTCTGGGTTTATATCAGTGAATTTTTCTCAAGAATTATTTTATATATCTGGGAGGGTTTGGAAGGGCTACTGGGTTCCTTTTTCATCGTAGGAGCAGCGTATTACCAACATTTGGTGGCTATCAGAATAAAAGAAAAGAGAAAATCTAAAATGTAGAAAAGGAAACATCCTAACTCTAGAACACCTTCACCTGCTTTTACTTTCTTCTTCATGTTTCCTTTTTCACTATTTCTTCTGCTAATTTTCTGAAACCAGAGATGTGGACAAAACCAGAGGGAGAAGACTACACCTGTGATATTGTCATCAGTAGATATTAAAGACCTAGGAAGCCACTGTCTGATTTCCTTGTAAGACTGAAGCTTTAAAAGATGACTGAGCCTGAAGGGCCTGATCTGACCTGCCTAGTCATCTCTTCCAGCATTGTGCACCATGGCTCCAGAGATCCTCTTCTGCATATGGGGCAGTGGGAACATCACTGGGAGGATGGAAGGACATGGCTGCATTTCTGGGAAGTTTACCAACTTTTTATAAAGTGTTTCAGAATTAGGAATGTCACACCACTCACAACAGAAAAATCTTCCTGTAGGATGATGGTTTGTATTTTTGATCTGCCGCGGTATGCAGTGTTGAGGGTGTTGGAAGGGTGTTGGTCAGGGCAGTGTTTCTTCTGCAGTAAGATGTCAGTCTGTATCACAGCCTTCATGAAAGAGAGATGATATCAATACTGTTACTGGGAAGGGCATTTGTTATGTGACTCTGGCAACTCTCACCTGAAAGAAAAGCCTTTGAGGATTTCTCCTGACATTTCAGCAGCTTCCCAATGCTGAAATTTCCACCATTTCTTTAAGCCCACATAATTGACCTCACTGAGGAGAACCAAATTCAGCCTCAAGGAAGAAGATAGTAGCACAGACAGCAAAGGCTGAGAGTGAGAACTGAAGTAGTCTGTATTTCTAATTAACACCTTATAATAAACAGAGCAGAAGGAAGTTAAAACTACACAAAGCCAAAGATGAAATGTGATGTTTTAAAATCTGCAGGTTTTTACAAGAATAATCAGAAAGGTGTTAACATTGATATCTGTTATAACAGTAGTTGACCTAGGTTTTGGCAAAGATCATTCCCCATCTTGCAA